CACACACATACAACATACACCATACACCCAATATTATAGGTCAAATCAAGTTTCCGCAGAGCAGGCGTGGTGCCGGCTAGATACAGTGTTTTCACCACAACGTGTCACAATTACACTTCCTAGAACAAAGGAAGAATAGAGGCAGAAAAGATGCAAACGACAGCATTTCACACCTCAGACCAGAAGCAACGCTTGAGTAACAACAACAAAAGAGATCAGAAGATTTTTTTATTTTTTATTTCAGTATAAGAAATGCCAGTTCTACCAACATCCTGTAACATCTCTGGGCAATAACAGACTTTCCAAAGACAACCAAAGGTCAACAGTTAAAACAGTTCTTAAGTCTCTTTTATTGTCTGTTTTATCGTAAGAAAGCAAATAAACTAATGTAAAATATTCATTGTAAAGTGGTGTTGTGTTAGAGAAATGTGAAAATCCTAACATATAAAATTATATTCTGTCCAATATTAACAGAATCTGTTTGATAAGATCTAATCTTCACTGATCACAAAGATGCTTCAGACGAGTCAGACGTGTAAAAGTACAGTAAAACCTCAGATGCTGCAATACGACTAATGTCACAATTCATAACAAAAGTTTTAATATACTCAGTTATTTATCTGAGATTTAAGGTGATGGGCTTCCACAAAGTAGTGCATGATTAAAAAGTGGAACAAGAAAAAAAATTAAAAAGTTTTTGTACAAATAAAAGCTGAAAAGTGTGGCGTGCTTTTGTTTTCAGCCCTTCTCAATCCATTTTTTAAAATGCTCCTTCACTGTAATTACAGCTGCAGATCTTTAGGATTGCATCTCCAGCTTTGCTCATCTAGAAACTAAATTTTTTCTTCTGTCTTTGTAAAATAGCTCCAGTTCAATCAAACTGAATGAAAAGTGTCTGAAAACAAAAATATTCAAGTCTTGCTACAGATTCTTTTGTTGGATTTTGCTCTTGTTGTAAATTCAGGGTTGTAATCCTTTAAAAATATTTTTTTTTCCAATCTTAAATAGGTTTTATTTCAGTAAATTCCTGTTTATGCTGAAGAAGTGTTCCCACAGCATGATGGAGCCACAGCCGTGTTCCAATGTGGGGATGGTGAGTTAAGGATGATGTGTTGCTCCTAGTTTTTGTTTACTTTAATTCATATAGTTTAAAAAACTGTCATCTTCCTGTTTCCCAAAGATACGTTGGGCCATCTAACAGTTAAGTGTGACATAAAACAAAGCAAATATACAAATCAAAAATATCATTTTACCGTTATCCTACTGTCAGGTGTCAAAGCGTTCACCGTCAAATGAAGGAAAATAAAAGTGTGAAAATTATTTCTCAAAGCCAAATTGATGCTGACGAGCATTTATTTATTTTTATTTTAATATATTTGCATTTGATGGACTCTGGGCAGAGATTTGTTTAGAATAGTAAGATGATACTTTGCTCACTGCACTGCAAAAACACACAATCTTTTCTAGTTTCTATTGCAAATATCTTAGTACAGTTGAAATACAACAAAACTAACTGACAAGTAACTTTTCAGTAATACCTTTTAGTAAATTATTTCATTGTATAGATTTTTATAAAGTACTAGATCCACTGACAAATAATTTCACTAAACAAGACATGTAAACATTTGCCAGTTGCTGGGTTGCTAGGTAACGGGGCTGGGCTTGGCTGTGGTTGCTAGGTAATGGGGCTGGGCTTGGCTGTGGTTGCTAGGTAACGGTGCAGTGGATCTAAAACCTTTTCATGAATTTTAAGATATTATCGACTTAAATTAAGCTGCTATATCTTTCTGAAAAGTTGCCTCTAAGTTAGTTTTCTCTCATTTCAAGTGTACTAAGATATTTGAACCAGAAACTAGATGGTGATATTTTGTGTTTTTGCAGAGTGTGTCTCAAACGCTGAGCTAAAACATGTGTGTGTGTGTGTGTGTGTGTGTGTGTGTGTGTGTGTGTGTGTGTGTGTGTGTGCGTGTGTGTGTGTGTGTGTGTGTGTGTGTGATTGTCACATAGAGGATGCTGTCCCCTGCTGGCCGGCAGGCTGCAGATGATGCTGCCGTCCCGTTCGCTTCAGGTTCACACAGGAAGTGCAGAACTGCTTTCTCAAGAGTTTTTGTTGCAGAATAGCTGAGAGGCGACCAGAGCGGCAGTGCAGAGGTGGAATCAAGAACATGATGGGGTTACAAGTCTTTATCCGACTCCTGCCGCTCACATGTCTGCTCCAAACGGGTAGGATTCTTCATTTTGGTCTCATCTGATCGGGTTTTATGGTCTGGGTTGGTTTTTTATTAAGAGTATTTAAAGGTTTTGCAAATGGACTAAACTTCTGTTACATCCTAAATGTACAGATGTATTTTTCTTATATTTGTTTTAATTTATTATTCTAATATTAAATGTTGTGTTTTTATTATAATTAGTAGCAATAAAGGCACCAGTCTGTGTGTCAGTGTATATGCTACAAAACACAAACTCTTGCCAAGTTTTTGTTGCTCTAGTTTCTAGTTCAAATATCTTATTGCACTTGAAATAAGACAAAACTAACTTACAAATAAGTTTTTCACAAGATATAGGAGCTAGTTTGAAGCCAATCATTTCTTAATATTGATTAAAACAAAGCATATTTTGATGGCAAATTTTGTCACTTATAACATGGAAAAATGTCATGACTGAAATAATCTGCCAGAACTTACCTTATAATAATAAGATATTTACATGCCAAAGTATTAGGGCCATACTAAGAAAAAACAGAAAAAAGTCACAATATTATGACTTTATTCTTGAAATATTGTGACACAGAATGGCTCTAATATTCAATTATACATTTGCAGGAGAAGCTAGACAAAAATACTTATGATTTTGTGATTTTTCAGTGTACAACATGTTTCATACTGCAAAAACACAAAATCTTACTTAGTATTTTTGTTCTAGTTTCTACTGCAAATATCTTACAAATAACTTACAAGTAACATTTTAGCCAGATATAGGAGTTTGTTTTCTGTAAATAATTTCTTACTATTGATTTTTAAAAAAAAGTACTAGGTCAACTGGCAGATTATTTAATTTATGATAATAAATTTTCCCATCTTATAAGTTAAATAATTTGCAAGTGGAACTGGAACTTTTTAAAATCAATATTAAGAAATTATTGACTGACATATTGGAAATTACTGGCTCCTACATATTTCTGAAAAGTTACTTATAAGTTAGTTTTGTCTTATTTCAAGTGCACAAATATCTTGCACAAGATATTGGACAAAATATTTTTGTCAAATCTATAGTAAGATTTTCTGTTTTTGCAGTGCACTTAATGAATTGAGTTACTTCATTAAATTAATTTTCTGATTTAATGTACTTTATTTTCTAAGATCATTAATTTAAGTTATCTTCCTTTAAGAGGACATGACAGAAACTCCTGGCGTAACGCTGCTTCCTGTTTTGCCTCCAGGTGTGAGGAGTGTGAAGGATTCGGTGTTTGTTTACAGCAGAATCGGAGACGTCGCCCTGCTGCCCTGCACCAAATTCACCTCCGCCGGCTGCTCCTCCATCACCTGGACCTTCTTCAGAGGCGGCCGGGTCCGTTACACCGAGGAGGTGACCGGAGGGCGGGTCAACCTCGACTCGGACAAATCCAACAGAACCGCCGTTGCGTCCAACTGCTCCCTCGTCCTCAGCGACCTCACCATGGAAGACGCGGGTTCGTACGTGTGTCTGGAGAACAAGGAGGCGGTCACCGACGTCTACCTGTCGCTGCTGAGCGTCAGCTTGGGCTCGCCGATCACAGATCTCCGGCCTGGAGGGAACCTCTTCCTCACCTGCATCCTCTTCACCTACTACGACGCGGGCAGCTGCAAGCCGTACTCCAACGTGTTCAGGGTCAACTGGCTGGATGAGGACGGAAAGCAGCTGCACAAAGACGACAGAAGGTTCATGAGAGTGAAACATGTTACAAAGATCAATGCTGGGCTGAAACCATTAATCGGATTACACTGCAAAACACAAAATCTTACCAAGTACTTTTGGTTTAGTTTCTAGTCTAAATATCTTAGTTCAATTAAAATAAGACAAAACTAACTTACAAGTAACTTTTCAGCAAGATAAAGATAAAAAAAAGTTTTAAATCCACTGGCAGATTATTTCAGTTACAAGTGGCAGTTCAATTGTAATAAGTGAACAATTATTTTTCAATAATTATTTAATTATTGACTATAAAAGCTCTTATAACTTTTTTGAAAAGTTACTTGTAAGTTACTTTTGTCTCATTTCAAATGTATAGAGGTATTTGCACTAGAAACCTGACCAAAAATACTTGGTAAGATTTTGTGTTTTTTCGGGTTGGTGTTCAAACCATACTTGCGTAAATGTTTTACCAAGTATTTTTGGTCTAGTTTCTAGTATAAACATTGTAGTAAACTTGAAATGAGACCAAACTGACTTACAAGTAACTTTTCAGGAAGATACATGAGCTTGTTTTAAGCTAATATTAATTAAAAAATACTAGTTCCACTGAGAACAACAAGGGAAAAAGTCTTTTTATAGGTGAAAAAATCAGCTAGTAGAACTAGTACTTTTTAAAAAAATTGATATCAAGGAATTATTATTTTTTTAAATAAGCCCCAAATCTTGCTGAAAAGTTATTTGTTACTAGAAACTAGACAAAAATACTTGGTAAGATTTTGTGTTTTTACAGTGTAATCTTGATGAATCCATTATTGAAATAATCATTAACTAATTTTGTATCAGATTCATCATTAACTGAATTACACAGACTCAAAAAAAAAAGCCATCTGATGACAAAACAACACACTCAGGGCCAAAACTGTGCAAAAAACAGACACATTTTGAATTTAAAATAAGACAATCCTTGCAAATATTTCATAGTTTTCTCTCCACCTTGTCTGGCTTAAGTTACTGTACCGTCTACATAGGGTTGGCAGTTAGCACATTTTAGGTAAATCGTTTAAAAACAGAAGAGCAGAGGCCCCAGTATCGACCCTTGTGGTTCACCTAGATTACGTTTTTGTATTGCAGATTTGACACCATTTATTTTAACACACCAATGTCTAGAGTCAAGGTTAGACTTGGACCAGATTAATGCTTGCTGAGAGAAATTTAGTTGTTTCAGTTTCATCAGAAGTACTTTGTGGTTTAAAGTGTGAAAAAGAGAGAACATAGCTAATGTAATGTTTTTACTTCACTAATCAGCTTCACTGTTCGACACCTCTGCATAGACAGGGTTATTCTACTTGTCTTTGAGTGAAACCATAATTTTCCTGTTGATGACCCAGTTTGGGCCGAGCTTCTGCTGACGGACAGATGCCTCTAATTTCACTCTAAGCAATGTTTCCCAGTGTTATAGATGCTCTGTGCTCCAATAAACCTCATCCAAATGACTATATTACCTCCTTTATGCACCATCAAGTGCTGGTTGGTAACTAACTGCATTTCCACTGTAGGTGTATGCAAATCTTTGTCTATATCACTGGTGCCCAAAGTCGGTCCTGTAGGGCCGGCATCCTGCATGTTTTAGTTCTCTCCCTGGTTTAACGCACCTGGATCAAATAATGGCCCATTAGAAGGCTTAAGAAGAACACCTACATGCTGAAAAGGTTGTTACTACCACCAGGAAGAGAACTAAAACATGCAGGATGCCGGCCCTCCAGGACTGACTTTGGACACCCCTGGTCTATATTCTGCTAATGTCAAAACCTCCACAATTTCGCAATTGCGGTGTTTCCATTAAATAAGAAATTAAATTATTATCACATGTAAACAAGGTTGCGAGATGAATTATTAAAAGTCCTGGCAGCAAAGCATGTAAACAGTTTATGATATATATTCATAATTCAGCCATGGCGCCAGCGTTCATCATCTATCGGCCATCAGATAAAATGGCCGCCGCCACACTGGGAGCGGCTACGTATGCTGTGTTTAGGGGGAATTGTAGTCGGCAGTTTTACAAATGTTGTATGGATTAAACACGTCTTTTTTTTAACTGTGTGATGCTGTGAACTGCACATTGTCCGAAAAACAAAGCAAAACAAATACTATTATCCTCCTACAACTTCCTGTCGTTTTCGTTGTTATTTGCGATGTATTAACGGCCGACTGTTGATCACGTGACTCGTCTGACGTGAAAAAAGTTTCCATTAGAGTTTTGAGAAACACATCGATACAGCTGAGAAACCACCTCATCGAGGCGCAAAAACGCTTCTCTCTCTCTTTTTAATCAAAAATGTGAGTTGTTTTTTTTTGGTGAAATTGATGTGTTTTCATTAAGTGAATTTATTTTTGTACTTCCAATACGGGCATTGTTATAGTTAATGGAAACGCAGAAAGCAGTGGATCAATGCTAACATGGTGAGATAGCTAGTTTAGCTTCAAATTCCGTCTTGAGATTTTATTTGTAGTTTCTCAACTCTACCTCAAAAATGTTGTTTTGATTTGCTCTCAAATGATAATTATTAAAGGTTTCCACCACAGAAGTCATTTCCAGCTAAAATCTGAAGATACAAAGCAGCATTCATGCTAAAAGAAAGTAATATTTATTGAATAGTGACTAAAAGTGAGAAAAAAAATCTAAAAGTTGATGTTTCTTTAGATATTTTTGAAGCATTGTCTGTGGGTTTTTGAAAGGGATCCCCAGCCTAAAGCTAATGGTGACTAACTCATTTAAAAGCTTTCACTGTAAAAATTATCAAATATTTTTGTCTAGTTTCTAGCACAAATATCATAGTAAACTTTAAATAAGACAAAGTCTTATTTACGTTGAGTAATAAAATGTTACATTTAACATCATACATTAACAAAAGTATCAAAAAATTCCTTTACAATATTAGCACCACAAGATCTGTGATTTTGATTGAAAAAACCACAAAAGCAATCATAAAATTTATTCATATTTTAACAGTTTAATGGGCTTTATAAATACATACAACCGGCCCTTTAAGAACATTCAGATTTTTGATATGGCCCAAAATGAAACTGACTCTGACGCCCTGCGCTAGACCTATTCAAAGTGTTGGATGATAAGATACAATCTATGCTGAAGACCTTATTATACAGAATATAAAATATGTATTTTGTTGCTGTGCAGGTACAAGCTGACTGAAAACACTCGGTGCAATGTCACTCTACGCATAAAGCTGCAAGCGGAGGACAACGACAGGAAGTGGAGCTGTCAGGTGGACACCACAAAGAACAATAAAGTTACATTTCTGAACTTCAGATCCTCCTTTCTGTTTCAAAATGCCCACACGGACCAGACTGTGAAGCTGCCAGTCACAGAGGAGTGTCGTGCAGAGCTGCCCATCAGCCGGATCGTTCTGTGTGCGGTTCTGCCGCTCATGGTGTGCATCGTGGGATTCTTCACATGGAAATCAGAGCACAAGAGAGCAAAGACCTCAGCTGCTGTCATCGAGCTGCAGGATGTTTACTGACAGACTGTACTGAACCATTTGCTGCAAAGAAACTGTAAAATGCAGAATGGGTCTTTGACAGTCCACCTAAAGTGAAGAAAATAGACAACTGTCCCTTGACACACTGTAAGAACACAATTTTACCAAGTATTTTTTGTGTGGTTTATCTGAAATAAGACAAAGCCGACATACAAGTAACTTTTCAGCAAGATTTAGGAGCTTGTTTTCAATCAATAATTATTGAATATTGATGAAAAAGTTCTAGTTCCACTGGCAGATTATTACAAATGGGCGCAAAACTTTGTAGAAAAAAAACACAATTTCACAATTGTGGGATTTACATTTAATAGATGCAATTAAAATCATGTTTCTTTAAGTTTGTCCAGGCTATAAATCATAAAAAAAACATTTTACAACATCATTCTCCTACCACTTCCTGTCACTTTCTTTGTCTTTTCCACCAGTAGTAACATCTGGCTGTTGATCACATTTTGATACAACCATAAAACAATCTCATTCTAGCTGAACATTTTTTTGAAATAGCCAAGTTTCCGTTAAGTGAATATATTTTTGTAATTCCAATTTGCACAATTTTATGGTCAAGGTAAACACATCTACTCATAACAACACATTTTCCCACGTTGTTAGTGAAATAATCTGCCAGTAGAATTTGTACTTTTTGTAAACGGTCAAGAATTATTCACTTAAAACAAGCTCCTATATCTTACTGAAAAGTTACTTGTACCTTGGCTTTGTCTTATTTCAAGTGTAATAAAATATTTGCACCGGAAACTAAACAAAAATACTTGGTAAGATTTTGCAGCTGTTTGACACACATTGTGCTTCAGTTAGATTATCTTAGAGGAAAATGTTTGCTTATTAAAATGTTAACCTTGCAAACGAGCTGCAGATATTTCAAGATTTCTTTTTCTCCATGCAGCTTTAATTGATTTAAAGTCAAGCTGTTCTCATTTGGAATAACTCTCATTTTAGTGTCACCTCCTCTTAGTTCTCATATCAAACTTTTTACTTGACGCTGTTACTTTGCTGCTCCTGCATTAAAGTAACACTGAAGTGCAGAAGCATTAGTGTTGCAGCAAATAAATAGGAAAGCGCTGCACTACTTTGCAAAAGTAGTCATACTCCAGAAGCTTTTTCATATTGTTTAATGCTACAGTCACAAACTTTAATGTATTTCATCTGGATTTTATGTAACAGACCAACAAAAAGTAGAAAGAAAGTAATAATAAAAATCATAAGCGTGCTGTGCATTTGCATCCTTACTCTACCTCTAAATAAAATCAATTGCAAGTTTAATTCAGTAAATCAGTACATTGTGTAACTCCAGCTGTTTGGTAAATGCCTCAGAGGTTTGTTTATATATTTAATTAATATTTATGTCCTATTATAACAGCTGAAACTAATACATATCCTGCAGAGCATAATGCTACAGTACGTTAGATCCTAAACATGTTATTTTAAAGAATGACTATCTTATTTTCTTGATTGATTAATTTGGTTTATTTTAGCTGAATCAACGAGAATTTGCAGTAAAATAATTTGAAATAAAGAAATACTTAATTGGAACAGTGATTTTTTTCAAAATCTCTTTCTCTTTCTTACTGTTTATTCAATGTCACATGCTGTTCTTATTTTTTAAATTATGTAAAGCACCTTGAAATGCCTTGCTGCTGAAATGTGCATGCAAATAAAATTTGATTGATTGATTGATTGATTGATTGATTGATTGATCGATTGATTGATTTTATTCATTCTTCCACACAATTTTGGCTGATTTTTGGTTATTTAAATATCAACATGAAATTGGTTAATTAAAACAAATATTTGTTAGAAAACTTGATAAATAAAATGGGTACACCTAATTCTTTCAATAAACATTAAACAATCTGTAAATAACAATTTATTAAAAGATATAAATCGACATAAATATGTACATAAAGTGAAAGCGTAATTTACAAAAGGAAACTGAACATTACATTCACGTTCCACTCTGGTAGTATGAGTTCTTACGGAAACCTGAAAGGGACAATTCTGTGTTGTTGGTGTGAAACATCAGCTAGCTGCTTTAGCTAGAACATGGCAGCACATTTGAAAAAACGAGTTTATGAGGAATTTTCCAAAGTTGTTCAGGTCAGCACAAGATGTCGTTTGTTTTTCTCGCTTCTTGTTCAGTTATAAACCAAACCGTAAAAACGGGGAAATATGCCGACAAGATAACTAGCTGGTTAGCTAACGTAGCATAGCAACATTCAACCAGACTCAGTCAAAACTCACTTTATAACGGTTACTGTGCTCTTTGGATCGTTTTAATCGGTTCAAATATAATATTTGGAATTGATTTCAGTCTATCATGTTTCAATTATAGCCTGAGTTCCGGACTGAGCCAGTTAGCCCTCCTTAACTAGCAGCTAGTTTATAAATACAAACTGACACAAATTACGTGTATAATCTGTTCTGACAGGTTAAATTTATCGGTCGTTGAAAGCAGATAAGAAAATACAAACCACGTTTTAATGTGACGTTTTGAAGCGAAGTAAAAAAAAAAAAGCATGACTTTTCATGTTTTTAAACTCTGTAAAACATGGCTTGCATTTGTATTCAGCCCCACTGAGTCAATATCGTAGAGTCACATTTTGTGGGATTATACCTGCAGGTTTTGTGGTGTATACATCTCTACAACTAAAAACATATTTGCACATTACTCTTTGCAAAAATAACAAGAGTTCCGTCAGTTGAAATGAAATATTGCCTGAGTTTAAAATGCTTTGCGTCATTAGAAGGAGAATAAAATAAAAACCCAGCAAAAAACATTAAATCACAGTGACATGTTTAATAACTGAATACGATTCATGATGTTACAGTTGTTATTTATCAAATTTGGCTGTAAACAAATGTTTTCTTTAGCAGTGATTTAAAAAGGGACTCAGTGTTTCAGCAGTTTTGTAGTTTTCTGGACGTTTGTAGTAAAGGAACATAAAAACTGAATGTTGCTTGTGGTTGTGGGGATGCAGCGTAGGCTGCAACCAGAAATCTGAGCTGATTGACTTTTTATTCAGTCCTGTGAAGACACTGTTGCAGTAGTCAATGCGACTAATTAAATGCATGGATGAGTTTCTCTAGATCTTGCTGGGACTTTCGTACTTTAATCCTGGAAATGTTCTTCAGGTGGT